CTGGAGCACTGAAAGAGAAGCTTAATGCCTACACAGTAATAATGGAAGGTGAATGTCTACTGTGTCAAAGGCAACACAAAGCTCTAAAATCTATTGCAATTCAGGGAGTTGACATGTTTCTTTAAGATGTGGACTTTGTATAATAATCATGTCTCTCTGATATTGTATTGAGTTTACGCTATGGTTGTTTACGTTATGGTTGTGTACTATACATACAGCACCAAAGTATTCTATATTTAGTTAGTCATTCACCTGTTTTTCTGAGTAATTCAATTAGTTCAGTTGGGTTCCTAAAACACGTCCACATGTCTCTTCTTAGATAACCAATGCTGAAGGGGCGTACTCACTCTAAAAGTATATGGTGTGTGGAGATGTACCAGGTACAGTAGGGGGAACCAGTAAAGACAAACACTACATCTGTGGTTGGGTTGATAGCCAAACTGTTTCTCTTGTAGTCAAAAGAGAGAGGGATAGAAAACCTCAACATATTGGAAGAAAATTCTCTCCCAGAAGATAAGGTTGCAAAACCTTGATTATCAACAGCTAATACACAAAAACACTTGATCCATCATCTTGCTTTTATTTTGGGGTTGAGTTATGCTCAATGGAACATTAGTAGACTCCTTTTCTCTTAAAATGATGATGCTTCAGTTGTGGTTCAGGCAGCAATGTTATTTAAAATGTAATTTGGAAAAATATCACCAGTGTTAAGGTATTAATATCTGTAATATAACTATCCTATGTGATTCATTGACTGCATGCTTTAGTGCAAAGCTTCCACTGCCAGCCCTCACTTACGTTCCTTCCAGACAGAGCTGGAGCTCATGAGGCCTCAGACACACTTAATGGGATTATGGTAATATTATTTTGTGACGCTGACCTTGGATTGATGCCAGGTTTCTTCCACTTTCTTAGACAAAAAGAACAGAACTCACCAAGGTTTCCAGAGGGCTGGTTCAACTTGGCCTTTTGGCACCGGACAGTGTCCCTGTCAGGGCTTGTAAAAAGATGGATGGCTTTGAGAAATAGATTTTTCTGCTATATATGCTCAACAGTGTAGCAAAATCTCCAAAAAGTGGAAAAAAACAGGAATAAATAAGAAACAAACAATAGTAAAGTGATATGTTTCTGAGTGTAGAAATAATTAATACAACTCAAGGCGTAGAAAATGTGTCCAACATTTACACCCCATTTGTTCACACAGTAGTTCTTGAGTTGAGGGTAAGGCTTCCATGGTGACAAGCTTCCACTACACTTCACTTTCTAAATGATATAGCACGAGTTTCCTCTGGATGTGTCTTATTGGCTTAGGAGAGAACTTTATGGACTGGATAGATTGAGAGCAAGTGAGAGTATGGGTCGATTCCAACTGTTCCTGTATGCAAGAAAACACCTACAAACCCATCAAACATGACAGTTGAGTAAAAGTGATAACTAAACATTTGTTTTTGTTTTAAATACACGTTTATGTTTTCTAGTTTGTTTTGCAATTATGACATTGTTTATATGTCACCTACTATGCTGAATTCTATGTTGTTTAGTTCTAGATGTTGTTATGTACTTTGTAGTTGTCCAGTCACCATGGATTTATCACCAGATTTTTTTTTTTTTTAGCTTTTTCTTTTCTTTTCCTCTCCTTTTTGCCTTCAAAAAGACCACCCATAGGGTTTAGAGGGGGCAGACATCTCTGCAGAATAATAATGGGGTCGTCCTGGGAAAATTGCCCATGGAATGGCTTGCTTGAAAAAAGGGAGAAAAAGAAAGAAAGAAAAAATTGGTCCTGTTTCCGATCCTTCTCGGAAACATTCATCAGGGCACTCCTGCTGTTCGGTGAGGAGCTAACCCCACCACAGCCCAGTTCGATCTGTACACCGCCCCGGTCGGTATATGGCTGCCAACACTTTTTGAGATGAGGCCAGAGGGCTGGGACATTTTCTTCAGCAATATTTTTGTTATATTATTT